CCTCCCACTAGATTGTAGTCTCTTACCAGCAGGGCCCTCCTACCCCCTGTATTGAAATTGTATGGTTAATCGTATTGTCTCCCTCAATTTTGTATATATATATATATATATATATATATACATATATATATATGTGACTATAATGTTAGAACTTAATTCATTTTTCTTTAGTAAAAAGTGCTTCATTCTGGAGCCACTGAAGCTGATTAGAGCACCAGAGGTACTTAGCCATGTATAATTTCCACCCCAACTACCCTCCTACCACATCATTTACAGTATGATGAACCTTCAGTGAAGTAGCACTTTAGCCTACTGCAGTGGAGGGCAAAATAAAACATTTACACATACTCAATAGCAGTATTTTTATCAACATCACTGTCAGGGAAGAACTGGGTTAAACATACATACACATAATACTAGAGTTAGGAATTTGCACCTGGATCAGTCTCAGATCATAAAGACCAACTATAACACAAATTCCTGGCCATGTACAGACCTTTCCAAAAATACTGATAATATAATTACAAAAACAGTTGACAAAAACTACTAAAACATTACAATAAACATAAACAAAATTGCTACAAATTCAGCTTTTACGAGGTTTATGAAGACAAATCACTGCTATATAAATCTTATATCTATATGAAGAGCTTAGTTTTCACAGCAGTAAAGGTGATGGCATAAATGTGCTTTACATGGCCTATATCTTAATCATCCGCCTGTGCTGACCCATGTGAATGAAGGGATCCCATTAACTATTTCATAGCTTAAAGGGCAAGTCCACATAAAACATAAATTTTGATCATGGATAAAAGTTGGCCTGCTCAATCACCTTCTTAGCCCAAACTTATTTTTTATTCCACCAGACTTCTTGGCTCGGCCTTCAACATCATCCTACTCCTGTTACTATGGTAGGGATCTTTATATTCCTGCCAATCCATAGTGTAAAATAAGTTATAACTTGAACAAGGAAAGTGAACCACCCCAACCTACCTAACAATTCCACTGACAGATGGGCAGACCATGGAAGTCGAGAGCAAAAATCTTGCTGTAGAGATTATGACGGTGGCAGGTTTGTGGGTGATTCAGCCCTCTATCATCATTTTGAAAACCAAAGTATTTGAACAGACTGAACTATTGAAGTGGACCTTAACTCACTTTTTTACTTTTATCCACTTTGAACCTTTTGCCCATATTTGTTAGTCAAACCACCTGTAGACCTTTATTTGACACAACTTTAGGCTACTCCTCTACAATCACTGGCCCATTCTTCAAGTTAAAGATATGGTTCCTGAACCATATTAACAGTTCACTAAATCCAGAATCGGTTATTGTAGTGCTGCATTCAATCCTCAAATACTGATGGACACACCTTTACCAGTGCACCCATCTGGATGAAAGAAAAACCTCAGATCATAACATTACCCAATGCAATGGGATGACACTCAGCTCAGCCAGCTACAGGACCCTATCACAATTACATTCAGGAACCTTTATTTTGCATATGCTCTCTAAGTATATGACTATATACTGTATATTTAACTCCCACCGAGGATAGGAGAAAAAAATGAATGGGGTAAAAATGTTAAAAGGTAAAGCCACCCACCCAGCGTGGAACAAATAATCCTTTTTGCTTATAATTAAAATTGC